GGGCACATGATTTATGAAGATACTGAGGGAACCTTACTTATTTAGTCTGGAGAAGAGAAAACTGAGGAGGGACTTAATAGCAGTCTTCAACCACCTGAAGCGTGGTTCCAAAGTCTGGATGAGTTTCTCACATCCAAAGAGGATGGAGTGAAACTGTTTTCAGAGGTAGCAGATAACAGAACAAGAATCAATGGTCTCAACTTGTAGCAAAGGAAGTTTAGGTTACACATTAGGAAAAACTCTCACTAAGAGGGTAGTAAAGCACTGAAACAAGCTGCCTAGAGAGATTGTGGAATCTCCAACCTTAGAGGTTTTAAGATGTGGGTAGACAAAGCTTTGGCTGGGTTGATATAGTAGGGGATGGTCCTACTTTGAGTAGGGGGTTGGACTGGATGACTTTCTGAGGTCCCTTCCAACCCTAATTTTCTATGCTTGTATGAATCTAGTGTCAAATGCTGGGAGGAGGAGTTTCTTCCAATTCTTCTATTTTTTTCTTCTATTCTTCTGTGGTACATCTCAGTTGGTGGTAGTTGTAGATACATTACAGAACTAGAGTTTCAGATCAGTGTTCAGAAAGTGTAATGGGCTGCTTGTCCCAAGGTAACAGAGGTGGCTTGGCCAATGAGGTCTGGCCTGAAAGCATTTTCTCTTCATATTAGGGCCAAATGTACCCAAACTTCAGAGTCTGTCAATAGGCAAGGATATCGCATGCTCTGCAAATACCAAAACAAAGCAGCATTTACTCTAGAAAATACTGCTGAGTAGTAGAATGCAAGTAAAACAGAAATGCCAAATAAATGGTTATGTTTCCCAATCATTAATTATTAGCCTTTTTGCCAACAACCTACACCTACTCTACTAGCTGTTTTTTTTCTCATACTTTTTTTTTTTTTAATGAGGGAATAGATGCATGCAAAGTGTGCTGTTAAACCAAATCCAGCTCTTACCCCAAATGTTTTTATTTCCAGTAATACTCAGGAAATTGGTTTGTAATCATCTGCAGCAATCAATGCTCTGCTGAAACTGCTTCACTGAAACTACTCCATGTTACAAGTTAACTGAGGTTACGCTTTCCATGAAACCACTTTAAGTCGATTCATTTTGCATGCAGTGCAGTCATATGTACATAAACACTTTCTTCCTAATTCCTACCAGTTGCTTGCTTTAGAGGCATTGCTGATCCTTTACTTGCAATTATGTTCAACTACAACTCAAAGGAGGAAGTTTTGAAACACCAGTTTCCTGATGCCTGAAAAGCTTCATAGTTCAAACAGTTGGACTTTTGTCTTTCCACTTCTGGAGTCACAGTTTAACGGTATTCTTTAAATAAACTAATTCCAGAGGGCTCATTCTGGGGTGATTACAAGGCTCAAAGATACCACTGGCAACACTGACCCAATACAATGACGTAACAGGATGAGTTTCTCAATGCCAGCTGGTAATGCTGTGGAGCCCACTTAAAACACTAGTATTCTGCCTTACTGGCCCATTAAGAGGCAAATCCTTTCCCAAAGGAACAACTACATTCTGTCCCCAGAATGTAAGCATGGGGCCGTAGCCTCAGATCTGGAATAACCACTTCTTCAGCCCTACTGTCTCTTGTTATGCAAGAATCAATGCCAAGTATTTTAAGACAGCTCAAACAGAGACATTGGCCTTACACCACCCCAAATTTCTGCTGTGTGCATCTGCACAGGAAGTCTTCACAGCTTCCTCAATGTAGGAAAAGTTGCTTCCCTTTCATGGACATTAAATCCAGCTCCTTGTTTATTCCCAGAAACAAAACAAGTGAGGCTCCCATTCAGGCTAGGCCTTTTGTTGCTTAGAGAGAGTACTGGGGTTTAGACTAGCTGAAGCACTACCTAAAAGATGTTTTCCTAACTCTACATTATAATATTCAGGCCAGGAGCTGAGGGACTCTGGATGTCCAACACAAGTCACAGTCAGTGAAGAATAAGGCTTCCCTTCTCAGTTCTCAAAATGATCTAACCATTAAGATCTCCAAAACACATTTGTACACAAGAGGCCACATGTAGGAGGGCCCAACCATCAGAAGAAAGTTTGACTTGTTGCTTCAGTATTATAAAAACAAAAAAAGGAAGAAGACTGACAAAACATTCTTCCTACATGATCCAGATGTGGGGAACAGAGCCACTGTGGCTGGAATGGATTTGCATCCCCCTCCCCGTCCCACCAACACGCTCAGCACATGGTCAAAACTATTCTCTACCTAATACCATTAACTATCAAGACCCCTCCATTTCTCTAGTAGGTTCACATCTGAAGATCCTGTCCTTCTTCAATCTGCCAAACAATTCTGACGTTAAACTTTTAATTCACCTTCCCCGCCCCCAAAAGACTCCACTTACATGCTGGTTGAAGAATAAAAAGGTCTTGTGTTAAGATCTCACAGGATCTGTGTGTAGGCTCATTTGTGCTGCTTTGAGGCAGATGCACATAACCTCTATACACAGATTTGCTTTAGAAGCCACCCACATCCTTGGACATGAATCATTTGCACATATATTGTTTTCCCCACATTTAGAAACTGAGATTTGTCTGGGAAAGCAGGGGGATTTTCAAATGTGCCCACAGATGGAAAGCATAGATAAAACTTGGGTAGGTGGGGAGGGGTTTGGGGCCTATGAATTTTGTTGCTCATGAAGCAAGTTTTGGATTGATGTTAGAGTTGGTCAAGGAGTTTGATTTCCTTCCCCCCACCTCACAAGACTCTCCCCTCCCTCTCTCCTTTAAAAAACACAGGTGGTTAATACTGAATCACTTGCTTTCATGGGGTGTTTGTACCTGTGATGACATTAACATGTACACAAGACGAAAATGTCATTTTGTGTGGCTTAATGGCATCACACTGTACACATGCAAGAGTTTTGGGGGGTTTAAATATCTTTGCATCATTGTAAACTAAACTACATCCAAATGCAGTTTAATTTGTAAAGATGCACTGTAGCTGTCAGCTTGCCCCCCAGCCATGGGAGAGGTGGGCAGACGCCACAGAAAAAAAAGGATTGGGCCCGTTGCTGCTTCTGCCTTCAGTGGGCACCCACTGAAAGCAGAAAGGGAGAGGGACCCAATCCTTTTTTTTTCCCCCCCCAGCAGTCTGCCCACCTCTCCCGTGGCTGGGGAATAAGCTGCCAGCAAGCCAAATGGCCCCTGAGCTGCGGAGGACCCCGGTTCTTCCCTCCACAGTGGCAGCACCCCTTGGGGATGCCTGGGTGGACTGTTAGTGGGCCGGGTGCTGCCCCAGCTCAGAGGCTGCGCCCGACCCGATCCAACTCTTCCCCAACCCCAAGCTGGCTGGGGTAGCACCTGGCTCACTGGCAGCTCTCCCAGGGGGTGCCACTGCCACAAAGGGAAGAACCAGAGCCCCCCACAACTCCGGGACTGCTTGTCCCCGGCTGTGGGCAGGCTCCAAAAAAAAAAAAAAAAACAACAAAAAAAAAGATCTGGCCCTTAGCCATAATGTGAAAACATGAAAAATTGAAACAGTGGTTTTCAATTAAAACCCATCATTTCAATTTATGGGGCACAGAATGCAGCCTTGGGGATTAAACCCCTGTCATATGTACAAGCACCCATAGATTGCCTTCAGTGCTATGATATTTTCCAGTATCAAGAGACTGGAGTTTCCAGGAGTTGACTAGAAGCTTCTCACTCTGTGTTTGTTTTTTGTTGTTTGAATTGAAATGCTTTAGAGAAAAGTATATTCAAACTAGAGCATAAAAATCCTCAGGAACAGCCTCTAAAATGACAAGCTTGGTGTATTACAGAAATGCATGGAGACATTCAAAGGAAGCCTTTACCTCTGGCTTTGCCATGGAAATAACTGGGAATGTCAGCCACATGCTGGGGTTCTAAATACAGCTACAGATAGCCATCAGAAAATGAAATTTAGAATGGTCTCCTGGTGAGTATCTGCCAACCCATCATCTTTACTGAAAGCAATGCACAGTTTATTTTAGTGTCTAAACAATATCACAAGGTTCATTAGCAGTAGTACAGTACTACAAAAATATACCCTTTAAACCAGTACATTTACTGTTCAGCAG